CCGGAAGCAGAAGTCAAAGCGGTCGTATTCGAGGGGTTATTGGGGGTTTCTCTTGCTTTCTCCTCTTTTCCAGACCACCCCTACCCCCAGCTTCATTACTGAAGACACTCCAACACCCATTTTGTCTCGATGATTGTCTTTAATCTCCATTTACCTCCTTGCGCCGCAAGACTGTTCATTCATGGTAGGTTTCCTATTCTTATGCGGTAGTTCTCTTTAGACGTCGCCAAGCATTTCAATCGCCCTCAAAGTTTTATTCGAGTACGCTCTCGACCGCAGTTACCACAGCAGTTGTACTGGCTTGGTGTAATCTTTAGCAAAGTATCAGCAAAAGGTGCAAATGCTTGTGGCGGACAGCTGTCATGTGAATTCCATGCTGCTAGCGAGAGATCGTTGAGCTTATAGTGCATGCTGGCAAACGCTTTCGAATGGATCGATGTCACATGTGACTTAAAGAAAGAAGTGAGAGCAAATTCGTTCTCTGAACATCCTGTCGACACGTCAAGATCACTAACAATCACTTATTTCCACCTTGTTAAGTCCCAAAGTGATGTTCCTCAAAGACAGATGGAACGATAACATGGTCGTGTCGGAAATGAAATTTGAGGCATTGCATGGCACAGTGGTTAGAAAAACTAAGGCAAACTGCCCAAATTATGCGAAATGGGACCCCTTTTGCCCTTTGAATCCGCATTAGACGAGACTCAACGATAGACGACCCCCAATGTTAGGTTGGTGTCGAGTCCTTGCTCCATCGCGCGAGCAAAAATCGCAAGTGCCTCATTTGAAACGCTGAATAGGAAACAAGTATAGGATCATGGGCAGTCGTCATTCAACCATCACCATCAAGCAGAAATGGCGGCAGGATTGGAGAGCACCTCGCAGTATTGATCGGGCACTTGTGATTTCTGTGATCCGTCGCGCGATTCGCGCGAATCGTGCGACGGATCGCGGACTCTGACACCAGCCTTAACTTTGCTCTACGTCTCTACTTTCCCTCTCTCGCTGCAGATGTCATCCATCACCATTAACCAATCACAGACCCAGTCCGCTACACGGAACCTGCCACGAAGGCGCCCGTTACCAGAGATAAGAAAATGGCAGAGGCCAGAACCCGTGGTGATCGCCTTTCCTAAGGGGTGGGGCTTAGGGATCATACTTTTGTCTGTTCTACCCGCATCAAGGTATTTTTTGTGCGATAAGGATAAACTTCTGTCCACACCACTGTGTCACCTTATTCAATTGTATGCGAGAGATATACAATCTCTCTAACTTAGGTAGCACCCTCCCCTTCTAAACTCAGTCGCTGCCACTCACCGGAAAGTGCAACATTTCCTTCGTAGCGGCTCTATCCAGCCTCCACTTAATAGATCTATTTCTTATTCAAAATCCAATTTGTCGTAGCAATTGCCTATAAAACTGTGCTTGGCCGACCAGTACCTCATGACACACTAGCAAACCGCTACTAGCTGATAAGCCGTGAATTCGTTGGAGGAAGGCTCCCAACGCACTCGAATTTTTAATGGGTTCCTGGAGAGTGCTGACGCCTGCAGAGTTCTTTACCGTTGCTAACACCATACGAGTTCTGAATATCTGTCAAGAACTCGTACAGTGTACGCAACCTTGGCTGACGATTTCTTGTTGCATACATATCGCGTAAAAGGACGGCAACCACATGGTCCAGTAATTCCTGCGAAGGCGCAACCAATAGGGCATGCTTCGTGAAATTGTTAGCCTACCCCACTTCGGACGAAACCCCGTGGGGAGAGCGGATCCTAAATTGTTTTTCCCGTCGTGGGCAGTCTTCGCAGCGTTTTCCTAGTCCACCCACCCCCGTGGTTCACATTTGTGTGGTCGCTCTTGCCAAAGTGTTTTCCCACACAAAAATGAAACGAAAAGGACGTTGACCTAAGAGGGCTTTGACCTTTTGAACATCCTAAGGTTTCCCTTCGTAATTGAGCGCAGGCGGAATTTACACCTAAACGCAACGATTACGATTACGATAAAGAGCAAGCGCATAGCGGAATTACATGTGCCTTGGCTGCTAAGAAGAGCGATGAGTGGCGCTTTTGCGACGAAAGGTGCGCAGCAGTGCTCGGAAAGCTCCCCCCCCCCCCGCCCTCCAAACGCGATCCCACCACTAGTTTAGTTGGTGATTTGGAACAGCTGTGTAGCCAGCAGCGGCACAACTGGAGCAATTCAACTGGAGCATGGTTCAGCATGGTGCCACCAAGGCGTTGCGGTGAACTCGTTCATGCGTCGCGTCTGAGGCCGTTGCCCGTCCCATTAGCGAAAATCGATGGCCGATGAAGGGGGTCCCGTTTTGCGTTCCCTTCCCGGTTTTCCTGCCTTGTTTCTCGCGAATGGCGTACTATTGAGACCCGCACTTCCCCTCCAAGCTCCCTAGAATCTATCGTAGTCAATGCCTTTAAGTCTAATTGGGAAAAAGAGGACAAGCACAAGAAGAGGGTGGTTGGCAAAGAGAAGGAAGGAGATATGGATTAGGGCATCAGAGTGAAATGTAAACAGTAAGCACTATGACGAAAAGGAACGGAGAGAAGGCGGAAAAAGAAAGATAAATCAGCAAGAGTGGGGATAGAAAGGAGATAAGCAAGAGCAACAGGAAAGAAGTGTGACAAAATAAATGGCCATTGTTATACAAACAGTTTGATGGAGAAGTGAGAGAGGTAAGGGTAAGAATGAAAAGAACGAGAGAGAAAAAGAAGAGAGGAAGAAGTGATACGTTGAAACTCCTCACCTTTCCAGCGAAACGATTTTGTCCCGCAAGAAAATTTTTTCTTTCTACTTTATTTTGTTTCTTGAAGCCGGAGTGAGTTTATGACTTACATATAGCCTCGAATCTCTATCAAGGTATATTATAATGAGAAACCGAGCCAAAGTCGTACTCACCTGCAAAAGCGGACTCGCAGACCGAATGTCTAATTCTGGCGGCTCCGGCTGATTGAGGGCTGAGAGACCGATAACGAAGAGCTGAAGCAAACAGATGAGTTCCGAATGGAGACTTCAGCGATAAAGCTAACTATCTTTCAGTCGAGGCAATTTCCGTCCAAAACTGCCTTGGAACAAAAACTAACCCTGGAACGAACGAAACTCAAAAACTCACAGCTCCCGTTTTGATTGTCGTCGTTGACCTGGCCAACCATCGCTGAATGTCGGCGTCGAGTGATAACTGCTGGAGGAGGGAACGTCTGAAGAAAGCGATTCAATTGTTGGAAAAGCGGTATTTTTATCAGCACAATTCTGGACACGAACACTCTTCTCTTTTCTCCTCTGCGTTCCGCCATTGACCATCTTTGGTGGCTGCGAGTTGGCAATCGGTGGGCGGAGAGGGTTCTTCCGAGCTTCAGTGGACTCTGATTCACCTTCTGCCTCTACAGCTTCCCTTTCTACCTGCTGTTGAATCTGTTCAATTGTCTGCATTTCACCATTTCGTTCACCATTTTCACGAATGGATTCCACAAAATGGTTGTCTTCTCGCCTTGCCATGTCCTCCACTGAAAATAAATCCTTGAGAAAGCCGGCTATGCACACTAGTCGCGATAAGCAATTATAGAAGAAATGTAACAGAGACTACCGGGAAAGTACCGCATTCGGATTACCGATGAGCACAGTGGCCTGGAAAACATCGGGGGAGGGTTAAACTTAAAGGCATGCCCCAGGATCGCAATGGATGTGGCTCTTGCACACGAATGTGAAT